CACTCTCGCTTGAGCGAAATACGATTCTGATCGATCATAACTTTAAATGATCGATCATAATTGAGAGGATATAATAGCGGTTCCCTTATAACCGCTATCTGAAGTGTATATAAGATAGCGGTTAAGGTTTAACCGCTTATTAAGCTACATATTTTAAGATTGTTAAGTCTCGGGTTGTATTTCGCTTGAGCGAGACTACTCTCGCTCAAGCGAAATCCGATTCTGATCGATTATATTTTGAAAATGATCGATCATATTTGATAATTTTTTCAAATAATTAATTATAATCGATTAGTTTTCTAAATTATTGATTAAAATTGATTAGTTTTTCAAATAATAGATTAGAATTGATTAATTTATGAAATTTATAATTAAAAATATAGATTATTTAAGAATATTAACTATTGTAAAGATAAAGTAGAACATGGGATGAGATGAGGATGATAATATAATGATAGAAGTTACAAAAATGTAGAATTGAGAAGTTTGAAACAAAAAAATGAAGATAATACTAGTTTTGATATTCATTTTTATTTTAATTATTTAAAACAGAGAAACTATAATTTTAGTTTCTAAATACTCAATTTAAAGAATTAAAGTCATTATTATTTAATCTTTTAATTTTAGTATTAAAAATTTAAATTATATTTTATTAAATTAAAATAATTACAATATAATTTTCTACTTTGAGAATGAACAATATAATTAAGAAGATCAAGTCTAATGTTATTGATGCTAATTTTAACAATAATACAATAATATTATTTTCGAAAACGCCCATATGAATGTGAATATTTTGATTATTATTATATAAAATAATTAAAAGAATAAGGTAAATAGAAAAGTAAAATGCATGGTTATACCACTTTCCTTTTAATCTATAATTAGTTAGGTATGAATCAAATGTAAAGTCTAATGTTATTGATGCTAATTTTAAGAAGATCACAAAATGTAAATTAAAATAATTACAATATAATTTTCTACTTTGAGAATGAACAATATAATTAAACTCAAAATTGAGAATACTCTTATACATTTTTGAACTCTTTTGGATAAATTTTTTTTCCTAATTTTTGATAAAGTTAATTTTAATATTTAAAACTATTTAACATTTTGAATTCTGAAAGGTTTTCTCTAATAGCAAATTTAAAAACATAATATTCAAAAAAATATTTTAAGATTGTGAATTCTCGGGTTGTATTTCGCTTGAGCGACAGTACTCTCGCTCGAGCGAAATAAGATTCTGATCGATCAAATGATCGATCATAATTGAGAGGATATAATAGCGGTTAGGGGTTAACCGCTATCTAAAATGTATTTTAGATAGCGGTTATGGGTTAACCGCTATCTAAATCATATTTAATATAGCGGTTAAGCGTTAACCGCTATTAGAAGTGTTATTCGCTCAGCGAAAATAACATCGCTCGAGCTAAACGCCCTGCACAAAATTGGCATTCTCGGGTTGTATTTCGCTGAGCGAATATAGTCTCGCTCGAGCGATTTTTTGCTCTGATCGATTAGATTTTCGAAATGATCGATCATATTTGATAATTTTTTCAAATAATTAATTATAATCGATTAGTTTTATAAATTATTGATTAGAATTGATTAGTTTTTCAAAGAATAGATTAGAATTGATTAATTTCTGAAATATATACTAAAAAATTATAAATAAAAATATAAATTAGTTAAGAATATTGACTATTGTAAAGATAAAGTAGAACATGGGAGGAGATGAGGATGATAAGATAATGATAGAACTTACAAAAATGTAGAATTGAGATGTTTGAAACAAATAAAATTAAGAAAATAGAGATTTAATTACACTTTTAATAAATTTAAGATAATACTAGTTTTGATTTTTATTTTTAAATATTTATTTTAATTTTTTAAAAACAGAGAAACTATAATTTTAGTTTCTAAATACTAAATTTAAAGAATTAAATTTATTATTAATATTTTTTAATATTGTTTTAAATGTGGATATCTTTAATATTTTGGACATATAAATATAATTTATACATGTTTTTAAACCTTTTTCTAATATTTGTTTTTAAAAATATAATATCATTTTTAATATTTTATAGATTTTATATTTATATATTTATAAAAGTAATTGGATTAAATTTATTATCCTCTCATATATTATTATACATTTAGCATAATTTTAGTTTAATTTAAAATTAGAATACAAATATACTATACTAATATACCATTATATTATTTTCATTGTATATAAATTACAAAATTAATAATTTGTATACTATACTATACTAACATATTATTTGTATACTATACTAATAGTATAATATACTATATTATAATATTATTTGTATACAAAACTAATATCTTTATATATAAATATATAAATATGGAAAGATATAAATATATGTAAAAATATAAACATATAAATATATATAAATATGTAAAGATATAAACATATATCTTTAATATTTTGTACATGTAAATATAATTTATATATATTTTTAAATATTTTTCTAATATTTATTTTTAAAAATATAATATTATTTTTAAAATTTAATATTTTTTTTCAAATATATAAATATATATAAAGATATAAATGTATAAGGATATAAATAAATATATCAATATATCAATATATAAATATATCAAAATATTAATATATAAATATATTAATATATAAATATATAAATATATAAATATATAAATATATAAATATATAAATATATAAATATATAAATATATAAATATATAAATATATAAATATATAAATATATAAATATATAAATATATAAATATATAAATATATAAATATATATATATATATATATATAAATATATAAATATATAAATATATAAATATATAAATATATATATATATATATATATATACAAATATATCAATATATCAATATTATCCCCTCATATATTAATATACATTATTAGCATAATTTTAATTTAATTAAAAATTAGAATACAAATATACTATCTTATACTAATATACCATTATATTATTTTCATTGTATATAAATTACAAAATTAATAATTTGTATACTATACTATACTAATATATTATTTGTATACTATACTAATAGTATAATATACTATATTATAATATTATTTATATAGAAAACTAATATCTTTATATATAAATATGAAAAGATATAAATATATGTAAAAATATGAATATATAAATATATAAAAATATAAAGATATAAATATATAAATATATCAATATATAAATATATCAATATTTAAATATATATTAAAATATATAAATATATTTTTATTTATAGATTTTATATTTATATATTTATACGGATATACATTTATTTGTATATAAATATAATTTATTTGTAAGTTATTATTAAAAGATCCTAGTAGCTCGGTGGTTGGAGTTTCAACCTCCAAGTTAAACTTCTAAAAAATATAATATAATTAAGAGGTAGGGAAAATAAATAATAAATATAATAAAAATGCAAATAAATAAAAATAATTAAATTTGTTATTGATTTAGCGACCGATTTAAATCGGTCGCTATTTTTTTAACTTTTTCATTGATTTAGTGACCGATTTAAATCGGTCGCTATTTTTTTACCTTTGTCATTAATTTAGCGACCGATTTAAATCGGTCGCTATTTAGCCACTGATTTTCATTTCGGTCGCTATTTAGCGACCAATTTGATATATTAATTTCGGTTGCTATTTTACGACCGAAATAAAATCGGTCGCTATTGGGCATTAGCGACCGATTTTTTCGGTCGCTAAAATGCTTTTTTCTTGTAGTGATTTGAGTAGGTGACACCAACATTGATAGGTTAATTGATGTTCTTAATTTGACATAGCAATTATGCAAAAGAGGGAAAATAAAGGAAGTCAATCCTAAGTTCTTTTATTTGATATTTCCTAAATGCACTTTACAGTTCTTTATCATTTATTTTCAACCCATATCTTTATGAAAAGTATCAATTTTACTTTAATTCACTTAGTAAGCATATGATTTGAAATTTTCATTAAAATCGTTTCTTGTGGGATCGACTTTTATTTAATTAAAATATTATACTTGCGATTGATAATTTTGAGTACGCTTGTCAAATATTATGTGGTTGAAATATCAATCTAATACTTTAAAAAACTTGAAGTTTCCTTTACATATATAAATATAGACACATTAAACTTATATTATTATTATTAAAACATTCACACACTAATTAATATATATATATATATATATATATATATATATATATATATATATATATATATATATATATATATACATAAGCCAGTGATTGAATCAGTATTAGTGACCAACAAAATTAAATTTCATTTCAGTCATCTATTTCAACAACAGTTTAGTAATTGATTTAAAAAAAATTAAAATTTGATGAAATAAAAATAAAATAGAAGAAATAATTTTATTATATTAATTAAATGTATAAAAATATAATAACGAATTTAGTGATTATTTTTTGGCAGAATATCTAGTCACTAAATTAAAAAAAAGGAATGGTTCACTAATTGAGTGGATAATAATAACTATATTTTTCAACCACTATTTAACATTTTATAATAGTTTAACTTCGTTAATTTTAGAATTAAGAATAGTATAAATTATATTGGTTATCTAAAGGTAAATTTACTTACTTTTGTATTTAGTTCAAGTCACTTAGATAAGAAAGAGAGAAATATCTTTATAACATCACATGATAGAAAAAGAAAATGACGAGGGTTAAATATGACGTGCAAATGATTAAGAACTCAAAACAAAGTTGTCATCAATTTCTTCATGTGACTCTGTCATTAAAATTTGTTAGAATATTGCCAGCAGAAAGGTATCAAAGTGTTGCTTTCCTTGGGAGGAGCCGTCGGAAGCTACTCCCTATGCTCATCCCAGGACGGAAAAGACGTTGCCCATTACCTCTTTCGAAACTTCCTCAGTGGCCAATTTGGTCCACTAGGAAGTGTAACATTGAACTGCATCGATCTTCACATTGAAAATAGTGATTCCAACTTGTATGTATTGGGAGGACCTTGTCAAGGAACTAGACGCTCTCCTACATGAAAACCAGTACTTTTACTTGTCCGCAGCTCCACATCTTTTCATACCAGATTACTACCTCGACAAAGCTATTAAGACTGGTCTTCTAGATTATGTGTTTGTTCGGTTCTACGATAAACCTGCATGTCAAGGCTCACTTTTTAGTTTATGGGACGATTGGACCTCCTACGTTCTTCCAAATAATACCGTGTTCTTGGGATTAAAAGCTGCGCCTGGTGATTGCTATATACCACCATGGTTTCTCATTGATGTGGTGCTTCCCTATGTAAAGCAAGCTTCTAACTATGGAGGAGTCATGTTATGGGGCAGAGCCGGTGATGTTCAAAATAATTACAGCGATGAGATAAAGGATTATGTTCCAAAAGATGCGTTACGGTTTGTGACAGCAGTTTCGGACGCAATTTATGAAGGCGTGTGTGCAGCTTTCCACCACATCTTACCCAACAAACTTTTCTAGCAATATGGGAGCGTACCTGCACACTATCTGATGTGCTATCTGTGTGATATAAGCAAATAAGTGACGACTTTTTAGTTGTTTCCTTTGTGGTTTCAAAGCTTTGATTTCCTACGTGTTATGTAATGTAACCAACTTCAATCAAAACATGTTACGGTAATAATAAAGTTTGGTTTTGATTTCTATATTACATTCATGTACTTCTTACGCCATATGATGTGAGAGGATACTAAATAATGCATATTCTTATCTAACGATAGATCACTATATGATTGATATCTTAAGATATTACTTAAGAAAATAAAAATGTACATTAATATATTATAAATTATTCTTTATGCATTGAACAGAACTTTATGATAATCTGGGGTTATTACTTATTGAAATGTTTCCTTTAATATTTTATCTCACAAAAAAGAGATAGGTTGGATATTTATCGGGGCTAGACAACAAGAAAATTTTCACTAATAGGATCTGACTCAATATATATATAAAAAATATAATATTACTTTTGAACCCAAAACTTTGTAATATTACTATACAAGTCTTTTTTATTTTTATTCGACTTTTCTATTTTTACCTAATGAACAACTTCAAAAAATTTACATTTGAATTCTCAATAATTTTTTCCTCTTTCACACTTCACATTGGTACACAATTTACATTTGAATTCTCAATAATTTTTTCCTCTTTCACTTCACATTGGTACACATCTCTCTCCAGGTGAAACATTTCTTAACTATGAATACCTAGTAGTACAATATAATGAGACTTAATTACCTGAAACTCTTGCTAAAAAAGACTTTTAAAATAAGGATCTACAATCTAGGATTTTTTATTTACTCTAATTGTAGTCAATCAAGCTAGTCACCAAACGAACCATCGGTTCTAATACCATTCTGACCAGGAAAATAACATCTAAATATATCAAAGTATGCAGCACAAATATTTTCTATAAACTTGCAAGAATCGGTGAGCAACAACAAAAAATAATAAGAATAATCACAAAAGAGAATAATATTTTTAAAATGGAAAAATACCTTCAATACAAGAAGTTCAGCCAGAACAAAGCAGGAATCATAATTTAATTGAGGTTATTAAGTAAATATGTAAAATAGTTTTCTCTTCTTCTTTTTTTCTCTTCCAAAGGCTACAAAATTTACCTTTTATGTTCAAACCTAAAAGACCCCTTCTGACTTATATTAAGTGAGATAAATTGAGTTTTATCAATTTTTACTTTTTAGGCACTAGTTAGGAGTCTAACCCAACAAGATATATGTTTTATTCTTGTTTATCTCATTAATAATTTAAGCATGTTTAAGAAATGATGTTCTTTTACAAACTTCGGTCCATCTATTATACAATAGTAATTTAAAAAATAATAGTAATGAAGTGATATGAATCTCAATAACATAAAGGGTGATTTAGGATTAGAACCTTGTAGGAAATTTAGGAATTTAGTGATAAGGTGGAAGGAAAGAATCACTCCTCCCAAGAGAGACAACTCATAAAGGATGTGAAAGTCCTTTGATACAACCAAGGGTTCTTGAATCAATCAAGAATTTACGAGAATCAATCTCACCATGACAAAAGAGTTAAACTATAATATTTTTAAATAAAATTCAACTTGTTATATTTGATAAAAATATAGTTCAGCGAAACTTTCCCATCAGAATTACAAAAGATTCAATAAAGGAAAATAAATACTAATAATGATTCATTAATCTAAGAATTAAAAATTAGATAAATAAAGATTAATAATGATCCATTAACTTAGGAATTGATAATACTTAATGACTGATTATAACTGAAATTGTGACAACCAAACGTCAATCAACTATGCACGATTTTGATCTCCCAAATACTGATAACTAAAACTCATTAATTGATTAATTCAAAACACTACTTGGTCAACAACAATACTTGTTAAAGAGTTTCTTTTGTTTCTCTTGCTCTAACCCTTCTCATAGGTCATATCCACATCATGAAGTCTGAATTTACTTCAAATTAATGTATTTCATGAATCATGTGATATGATGAAGACTTTGGGACAAGACGAGAAGACATTCATCACCATTCTAAAGTTGTCACCACTCTTGTATGAGGAAACTATATCACCCATAAGAAAAATGAGTTATTGAGTTAAAAAGTCAATGTAAAAAAGTGAGGTGGCATTTTTTAAATTAAAAGCGAATTTTTTTATATTAAATCATATGAGGTCCAACGTAAAATTTGTTTTATATCTTCTCAAGGATTAAAAAGTTAATATGAAAAAAAAGAGGTGATATTTTTGAAATTAAAAACAAACTTTTTTAACTCAGCCAGATGAGGTATGAGATAAAATTTGATTTACATTTTCTTTGGGTCATTGTCTTTCTTGTGTGCTTTCTTTTGAGCGATGATGATGACAACACATGATAATTTCTTTGGACGTTTTCTAACCACACGATGAGCAACATCGACATCATTATAATTCATTTGAGGTTTTGGATGATTCTCCCTTATTGGATTAGAACATGTGAGTGTTTATTTTTCTATTGAAATTAGTGTTCTTATCTTTATTTTTATTAAAATCAAAGTTGTAATTATTTTTAGGAATCTCAATCACAATAATATAAATATATCCTCATTGGATTGTTATTGTTGAACGTTGATTGAGATTGAAATTTTTAGTATTTAATTTTAAAATTAATTGTATAAGTGTTTAACTATCAAATGTGTGGAACGAGATCAAGCTAATGTTAGAATTAATTTAATTAATTCATTCCATTATGTGACTCATGTGAAATATAATAATGGGCCCAAATGTGATTTAATAAAATATGAGGACCTATTGGTTATTATGTGAAATTAGAATAAAATAAAGATAAAATAAAATATTAACTTACGGTAACCAACTTGATGGACGTTGATTAATAAAAGGGATTAGGGTTCTGTTTCTGGCCATAAGGTTTTTTCACGGTAAACCATCAAGAAAGCGAAGCGTGAGAAGAGAAAGAAAGACAAAGAGATAGATTGGGAAAATGAGATAGGAAAACAAAAAGATCAAAGAAAAGATTCTCATGGATCAAAGTTAGTCTTCTTACTATGATTCATGTATTGATGTATGTAAAATTGTGAAAATCAATAATCTAAAGATCCTGTAGAGTAGTTTTCTATAATGAATTAAGAACATAGGAAAACTACATAATGTCTTACATGTGGTATCAGAGCCTAGTTTATTAGATTTATGATTTTCCTCTTATGATAGTTTTTCCCAAATTAAGATAAACCCTAAGGGTTTTTCCCAAATTAAGATAAACCTTAATTATGGATTTAGGGATTTTTCTATCAAATTAACGTGAACCCTAATTTATTCCCATAATATGTTTTTCCCAAAATTGAATAAAAGGACAAACCCTAATTTATGGATAAGGTTGCATTTAATTTGAAATTAAAAATAATTTGATAATTTATGTGTTTCAATGGTTAGGCAATCCTTATAATTGAAAAGAATATTTGGGTATTTTAGTGTTTGGCGTCAGTAATAGTTTTTATATTAATTTCACTGCAATTAATTAATGATGAATCAAAATGATGGGACCTGAGCAATTGAAGGAATTCATGTATTTGATTAAAATGTTGTGCGCCAGTTGCATATTAATTAGGTGCGCTAACGTGCAATTGTTGCAAACATGCTTAGGGTTCCTTACCTGCGCGCCACTTGCATATTACGTGGGCCAGTTGCATAAAATGACGCATATTAGGTGCGCCAACGTGCGCCAGTTGCATATTAGGTGCGCCAGTTGCATAAAATGAGAATAAATGTGCATGTATTTGATTTTAATTCCGTGACATTTGTCTTATTATGAGTGTTGGCTGCTGCAATTGATTTAAATTGCAATATAAATTTGAAACGTAAATGTTAATGTGGAAGCCAAAATGGGATAGGTGAATGAATTATGGGTTGTTATTGCTAAATAAAAAAATAAATAAAAATAATAGAAAATATTATAAATGATTAATAGCAATTAAAGTTATTATTTATTTGAAATTAAGTATGATAAATTTTGTTAGTCACCAAAGTGGCCAAAATTTTAAGGTTATTTTAATTTCAAATTATTAATGATTTTATTTCAATTATCCATAGTATAAACGCTAAAATTATGAATAATTGGTTTATGGGTTAATTGAAGTTCATTATTATAAGATATTTCAGGATCACCCAAAGGTTGATTAATTGTTATTATAATTAATGAGCATGAAGGTAGATAATTTTCTGTGCGTCACTAGTTTTATTTATATAGCCAAAGGTGTTAGGTAATTCTAGTTGATGCATATTTTAATTATCATTAATGTTATAAAATGATTAGCGTAATTATGTTTGTGTATTGGTAGATCTCCCAAAGGAGAACATTAGTATGCAAAGAATGGTAATTTATGGTTGAATCTGTATTTATGTTTAATTTTATGACTCAAAGTATTAATGTTAGGCATGTGTTAATTGCGATATCGTTCTCGTAGCTCTGCATTCGCTATCTTCGTCTGTTCCAGTCTTTATTGGGTTAAATTTCCTCGACTGGAGTGAACAAGTCCAATTTCACTTAGGTGTGTTGGATCTTGATTTGGCTTTCCAAGTTGAAAAACTGGCTACTATCACTGATGCTAGTAGTAATGAAGAGAAAACTCATTATAGAGCTTGAGAAAGATCAAACAGACTTAGCCTTATGTTTATGCGAATGAGTGTAGCAAGCAATATTAAGTCTGCTCTTCCCAAAACTGAGGATGCGAAAGAGTTTATGAAATTTGTGGAAGAGCGCTCTCAAACTGCCGACAAATCCTCATCTGGGACATTGATGAGTACGTTGACCACCATGAAGTTTGATGGTTCTCGTAGTATGCATGAACACGTAATCGAAATGACAAATATCGCAGCAAGACTCAAGTCTCTTGGAATGACAGTGGAAAAAAATTTTCTTGTGCAGTTCATTTTGAACTCGTTACCGCCTGAGTATGGTCCGTTTCAGATGAATTATAACACCATGAAAGACAAATGGAATGTGCATGAATTGCATAATATGTTAGTTCAGGAGGAGACCAGACTCAAGAACCTAGGAAGCCACTCTATTCATTACGTGAAAAATCAAGGAGCTAAAAAGAAAGTTGTTAAGAAACATGGAAAGGGTAAAGGACCATTAAAGATTAACGAGTCCTCTACTAACATTCAGAAGAAAAATGACAAATGTCATTTCTGCGGGAAGTCTGGACATTTTCAGAAGGACTGCTTAAAGCGTAAAGCTTGGTTCGAAAAGAAAGGTGAGCATAGTGCTTACGTATGTTTTGAATCAAATTTAACTGAAGTTCCCCATAATACTTGGTGGATTGATTCTGGATGTACAACTCATGTTTCTAATGTGATGCAGGGATTCCTTTCAACCCGAACCATAAACCCAAATGAGAAGTTCGTCTTCATGGGGAATAAAGTCAAGGTTCCAGTGGAAGCTGTCGGGACTTATCGTTTAATCCTTGACACTGGATATCACTTAGACCTTATGGATACTTTTTATGTACCTAGTATCACTAGAAATTTAGTTTCTTTGTCTAAGCTTGATGTTGCTGGATACTCTTTTAAGTTTGGGAATAGTTGTTTCAGTTTATTTAAGCGTACATGTATGATTGGAACTGGTACACTTTATGATGGTTTATATAAATTGAATTTGGATAATTTATATGTTGAAACTCTCATGACCTTGCATCATAATGTTGCCACTAAACGTAGTTTGGTGGATGAAAGATCTGCTTATTTGTGGCATACGCGTTTGGGACATATTTCCAAAGAAAGAATGCAAAGATTAGTAAAGAATGAAATCCTTCCGGATTTAGATTTTACTAATCTGAATGTATGTGTGGATTGTATTAAAGGCAAACAAACAAAACACACAAAGAAAGGAGCCACAAGAAGCACTCAACTTCTTGAAATCATACACACTGATATATGTGGTCCATTTGACGTAAATTCTTTTAATAAAGAGAAGTATTTCATCACTTTCATTGACGATTTCTCGCGTTATGGATATGTCTATTTACTATATGAGAAATCTCAAGCAGTAAATGCCTTAGAAAGTTATATAAACGAAGTGGAGAGACAATTAGACAGAAAGGTAAAAATTGTCAGGTCAGATAGAGGTGGTGAGTATTATGGAAGATATGATGAAAGTGGACAACACCCTGGTCCGTTTACTAAGTTCCTTGAGAAGCGTGGTATTTGTGCTCAATACACAATGGCAGGTACACCGCAGCAAAATGGTGTATCTGAAAGGCGTAATCGAACCTTAATGGATATGGTTAGGAGTATGTTGAGTAATTCATGTTTACCTGTATCGTTATGGATGTATGCTTTGAAGACTGTCATGTATTTGTTGAATAAGGTTCCTAGTAAAGCGGTTCAAAAGACTCCTTTTGAGTTATGGACAAGTAGGAAACCCAGTTTAAGACACCTACATGTTTGGGGTTGTCAGGCAGAAGTAAGAATTTATAATCCGCAAGAAAAGAAACTGGATGCAAGAACAATCAGTGGATATTTCATTGGTTATCCAGAAAAATCAAAGGGGTATATGTTTTACTGTCCTACTCATAGTACAAGAATTGTTGAAACTGGAAATGCTCGGTTCATTGAAAATGGTGGAACCAGTGGGAGTGAAGTTTCACGAAATGTGGAGATTAAGGAAGTTAGAGTACAAGTTCCAATAACTAGTTCATCTTCAAGAGTTGTTGTTCCAAATGTTGTAGAATCACACGACAATCAAGAAGAACAACAAATTAATGATCCTGCGATTAACAATGATCCGATAATAGAACAACCATAGGAAATAGTATTAGGAAGATCTCACAGAGAAATAAAGTCTGCTATTTCGAATGATTACGTGGTTTATCTACAAGAGTCAGAAAATGACCTAAGTATTGATAATGACCCAGTTTCATTTTCAGATGCCATTAATGGTGATAATTCTGATAAATGGTTAGATGCTATGAAAGATGAGCTTAAATCAATGACACATAATGGTGTATGGGATCTTGTGGAATTGCCAGAAGGATGTAAGAGTGTTGGGTGTAAATGGGTCTTTAAGACTAAGCGTGACTCTCATGGCAATATCGAACGTTACAAGGCCCGACTTGTTGCCAAAGGTTTTACTCAGAAAGACGGCATTGATTATAAGGAAACATTTTCACCTGTTTCTAAGAAAGATTCCTTTAGAATTATCATGGCATTAGTAGCTCATTATGATCTTGAGTTGCATCAAATGGATGTTAAAACTGCTTTTCTGAATGGAGATTTAGAGGAGGATGTTTATATGAATCAACCAGTGGGGTTTATTGAAGAAGGAAAGGAACATATGGTGTGTAAACTTAAGAAATCAATATATGGACTTAAACAAGCTTCTCGACAATGGTATCTTAAGTTCAATGATATTATTTTGTCCTTTGGATTTAAGGAAAACACTGTTGATCGGTGTATATATCTGAAGGTCAGTGGAAGTAAGTTTATATTTCTGATTCTGTATGTTGATGATATCTTGCTTGCGACTAATGATCTTGGTCTATTAAGTGAGACTAAGAAGTTTCTCTCTAACAACTTTGAAATGAAAGATATGGGTGAGGCATACTATGTGATAGGAATAGAAATATTCCGTGATAGATCACAAGGACTGTTAGGTTTGTCTCGGAAAGCATATATTAATAAAGTTTTAGAGAGATTCGAATGGAGAATTGTTCTGCATCTCCCGTTCCAATACGGAAAGGAGACAAATTTAGTCTCATGCAATGTCCAAAGAATGACTTGGAACGGAAACGGATGGAAAATATCCCTTATGCATCTCGTTGTTGGGAGTTTGATGTATGCTCAAACATGTACGAGGCCGACTATTAGCTTTGCGGTTGGTATGCTTGGTAGATACCGGAGTAATCCTGGACTGGATCATTGGAAGGCTGCAAAGAAAGTTTTAAGATACTTACAAGGAACAAAGAATCACATGCTTACTTATAGGAAAGTTGATCACCTTGAGGTGATTGGATATACTGGATTCGGATTTTCTTGGTTGTATGGATACACGAAAGTCTACCTTTGGTTATGTGTATCTTTTAGCCGGAGGAGCGATTTCATGGAAAAGTGTGAAGCGGTCTGTCATTGCTTGCATCCACCATGGAAGCTGAATTTGTGGCATGCTTTGAGGCCACAGTTCAAGCTAATTGGTTGCGAAATTTTATTTCAGGACTTGGAGTAGTCGACAGCATTGCCAAGCCGCTGAAAATTTATTGTGACAATTCCGCAGCAGTCTTCTTTTCTAAGAACGACAAGTATTCCAAAGGTGCTAAGCATATGAAATTGAAATACTTTGCCGTTATAGAAGAAGTTCAAAAACAGAGAGTGTCAATAGAACATATTAGCACTGATCTTATGATTGATGATCCTTTAACAAAGGGATTACCGCCCAAGTTGTTTGCTGGCCATATAGTAAATATGGGCATTATGTTTACTAGTAGTGAATGTTAAATGTTAATATTATTATTAATGTTTATGTGACACTCTGAGATCTTTAACGTATAAGTTTCTGAAATTTGTGTTTTCTTCTTTATTTATATGCATGCAAATTATGATGAAGAAAACAAATTATGTTATTATTTTTAAAATGATATTATGTTTGAACCCATTATGGACTTCTCATTATAAAGTCATATTAAGGAGAAAGAGATAATATAGTAGTAGATGGAAGGGAGCATGTCGATTGAATGACATGTAACCGCCATGACTCTTGTTATAGCTGTATCTTTAATTATGAATAATAATAGAACCAATTTATGTAAAGTCCTTTAATGCGCATTATGACTTAAGTATTAAATCACAGAATCGTATGACATCACATGAGTCAAGTGGGAGAATGTTAGAATTAATTTAATTAATTCATTCCATTATGTGACTCATGTGAAATATAATAATGGGCCCAAATGTGATTTAATAAAATATGATGACCTATTGGTTATTATGTGAAATCAGAATAAAATAAAGATAAAATAAAATATTAACTTACGGTAACCAACTTGATGGACGTTGGTTAATAAAAGGGATTAGGGTTCTGTCTCTGACCATAAGGTTTTTTCACGGTAAACCATCAAGAAAGCGAAGCGTGAGAAGAGAAAGAAAGACAAAGAGATAGATTGGGAAAAGGAGATAGGAGAACGAAAAGATCAAAGAAAAGATTCTCATGGATCAAGGTTAGTCTTCTTACTATGATTCATGTATTGATGTATGTAAAATTGTGAAAATCAATAATCTAAAGATCTTGTAGAGTAATTTTCTATAATGAATTAAGAACATAGGAAAACTACATAATGTCTTACAGCTAAGACCACCGCAAATGCAACGAGCACCACGACCACAATGATGGCCACCTTGGAAAAGCGTTCTGGTTCGAGAAGTCCAAGGCTAAACATGGCAGCGCTACAGCCTAAAGGATGGAATAGAATGCGAGACAACAACAACGCAAGGTGTCTCCAACAATGGTGATTAGAGTAGGAATGAAAGTACGGGGATGGAGATGAAGGATGGAGTTCAGAGGGTGACACATAGCAGTGATACATCCCACTATGGTGATGGGAGGGTTGTGTAGAATGCAAACTAAATGTGATATTTACATTAGATAAATGTGAAGGAAGCATCTATATGCATGTCAAAAACTTCATTTTCCTTCCTCCCCATCTAAACTAGCGTGACTTTTGTGGAGGAGAGAATTGGTGCCTTCGTTGCAACTTATGCTCAAGGTAGGAGTAGAGAACTCAATTGCCATTATGACATGGTCATGGTTTTAGTGTGTTAGATTTGGTTGACACTCTCTTAAAGAGTTGGTGATATGCATGTTGATAAAATCATTGAATGTTTGTGAAGCTTCCATTATCTTTGTGCTACAAGTATTTCCGGCTCTATGGCCAAAAATCTCTTTTTCAATGGCTAGCAAAACTATATTTGTGTTGTTGGATGATGCTTTGTGATTATATGAGCATGTTTTGGTATTTGAAATGAATGTATATTTTTGTTGGTATGGAATGTTAGATAAACTTGTAATGAGTAACCTGAATGAAAAATGATTGTTTGAAAAGTCCAAATAACATATTAATTGAATATGTTGTTAAATAATAAATTATCTTGTGATATTTGATTGATTTTGGACTTTAATAATAATTATCTTAATTGATTAAATGCGTCATTAACTAGTTGGAAAGTCTTTTCTACATAAGATAATCGATTAAATGCATCAGTTTAGAGTTTGAAGGCATTTTATTAATAAGATAATCTACTATAATAATATATAATAGATTATTTCAATAAAATATCTAAAAAAATTTAAGATAATATTAATGACATTAATAGTTTACGAAATGTTTGATAGCATTAAATGAATAAATCCATGGTTGAAACAAGACATGCAACGAAGCTTTTATTATTATTTTTTTAATTTATTATTAGTAAAACATGACCATTTATTTTTTTCTTTTTTCTCAATGTCAATTGAAGTTAAAAAAAATGTAAAAATAAATTCACTACAATTAACATTTTGGTCTCAAAAATAAGTTGCTAGTACTTAGAGAAGATTTTAGGTAAATGAGTCTCTATAGTACTATACTTTATTGTTGTTGGCACATTCATTTTTCTGTTATTCTCCGTTAGTAACTTTAAAACATAAATAATAACGAATGTTAAACATTACCTAATATTAAAAGAGGTGTATATGAAAATAATATATTAAACAACAAACAAAATAAAAAAACTTACATTGTTTTTCAATGTTAGAGATTTGATTTTAAAGGATATAATGAATATATATCCATTACACCCAATTTTGAATTAAAAAACAAACAAACTAGAAAGACAATTGCATAAAACATGATTGAAAGATAAGCATGATATTTAAATATAATTTTTTTTAATTTTACATAATATTATTTGTAAATATGACGTGCAAAATGACAAAGATGACAATGACTTGGTAAATTTTCTAACTTAAAACAAAGTTGTCATCAATATCTTCTTGTGACTGAGGTATCATTAAAATTTGTTTAAAAATAATTAGGCATAGCTAATATGTTTAAGGCACGTGAATAGTATTTTATAGAAGCAAATTCTTGAACATATGAAGATCATGTTTATATATGATTCAGTGAATGTAAACTTTTCACAGATAAAAAAAAAAATGAATGGGCGGTGATATAAAATAGTAATTTATAGGCTTTTCTAGCAAAATTTTCATTATAAATAGAAGCTATGGCTCTGGCTCTGATACCTTCAGTGAGTTAAACAAAGAAACCCAAAAACACATGGCTTCCCAAAGAAGAGTATTCATGCTTGTTCTGCACCATAAGGTCTTCACGGGCCAGCAATGGTGTCATTGGCGTCTACTGGGGCCAGAACAATGGCGATGGCACCTTGACTTCAACATGTGACGCTGGAAACTACGAGATTGTGCTCCTAGCTTTCCTCAACGGCTTTGGTTGTGGGAGACCACCATCATGGAACTTCGATGGCCACTGTGGAGAGTGGAGTCCTTGCACCAAACTCCAAGCCGAAATAGAATATTGCCAGCAGAAAGGTATCAAAGTGTTGCTTTCCCTGGGAGGAGCCGTCGGAAGCTACTCCCTATGCTCATCCCAGGACGGAAAAGACGTTGCCCATTACCTCTTTCGAAACTTCCTCAGTGGCCAATTTGGTCCACTAGGAAGTGTAACATTGGACGGCATCGATCTTGACATTGAAGGTGGTTCCAACTTGTATTGGGAGGACCTTGTCAAGGAACTGGACACTCTCCGACATCAAAACCAGTACTTTTATTTGTCCACAGCCCCCCCACAGTCTGACATTCCAGACTACTACCTCGACAAAGCTATCAAAACTGGCCTTCTAGATTATGTGTTTGTTCGGTTCTACGATAACCCTGAATGCGAAAACTCACTTTTTCGTTTGTGGGACGAGTGGACCTCCTACGTTCTTCCAAACAATACCGTGTTCTTGGGATTAACAGCTGCGCGTGGTGATTGCTATATACAACCATGGTTTCTCATTGATGTGGTGCTTCCCTATGTAAAGCAAGCTTCTAACTATGGAGGAGTCATGTTATGGGATAGGGCCGGTGATGTTGGAACTAATTACAGCGATGAGATAAAGGATTATGTTCCAAAAAGCGCGTCACGGTTTGTAACAGCAGTTTCTGACGCAATTTATGAAGGCGTGTCTGCAGCTTTCCACCGCATCTTACCCAACAAACCTTTCTAGTAATGTGGGAGCATATATACCTGCACACTATCTGATGTGCTATCTGTGTGATGTAAGCAAATAAGTGACAACTTGTTAGTCGTTACCTTTCTGGTTTCTAATAAAGCTTTGATTTCCTTGATGTTATGCAATGTAACAAACTTCAATCAAAGCATGTTAAGATAATAATGTCTGGTTTTAATTTCTATATTATATACAAATGCGTATTTCGGCATATACATGCAGTAAGAGACTATTAAATAATGCATATGTTCTTATCTAAGGATTGATCAGTATATGAATGATATCTTAACATATTACTTAAGAAAACAAAAATAAATTTATATATTAAAAATTATTTTTAACTCAATTAACCCAATCATCAAGGAATTATCGACTATGATATTAGTCTGGCTAGAAAATTAACAACACGACAACCAAAAATAGTAAATTATGCAATAAAAACAATTTTTTATAATCTACATTGATATGTGAAGAGCAACAATAATAAAAACTGATAAGAATAATAATAAAAAAAATATCAATATTTTTAATGTGAAAAAATATCATTTGATATGAAAAGTAAAAATTTACTAGTGGAATCCAAAATTCCAGATTCTCTATCCATACCATTGACAAATTATGGGATGAACTCACTAATAATATGGTATTCACTAAAATAAATCTTTATTTGTAATCACTTAGTTGTGCCGTCATAAGATATTCATAAAACTATTTTCCATACTTTTGGTGGTCATTAGAAGTTGTTCATCATTCCATTTGAGCTACCCAATGCCCTTTAACATTTTAGGTAGTAATGAATGACTTACTTAGGTTTTCCCTTTCACAAATTTGTATTAGTTTTGTTTAATGATATCTATTATAATCTAATGGGGTTACCTCCAAACTATCCTTAAGTTGTTGCAAGATCATCAACTTTTTGTTAAGCAATATTTATGTATTTTGTGTGTGATTGTGATCACTTATTTGGCCTATGTTATCTCCAAATGAACAATTACCTCTCATCTTGACAAGATACAAGCCATTTAGGATTAATCATAACCTCATTCATTGAACCTTTGTTGACTTAGTGAAACTTATTGATAAAAATATTTCCAAAATCCCTTGTCTTGTATTGAATATGATAGTACAATATATACATGAAATACAGAAACATTCTAGGCTATAATTACGCTAACCATTATAGTCGGTATCCTAAATTTGTCTATTAACAGATATGACATTAATGTGCATCACTGTGCATCGCTGTCATGCCAAGCTAAATATGGAAAAAATTAATCATGTAGAATCATGGCATGATACGGTATTTGTAATCGTATATTCTATGTTTATCACCCTCCCTCAAGATGGAGTATGAAGGTTGTGAATGCCCAACTTGCCTAAAAAAGAACCAAATTTAGTGGCGCCAAGAGATTTGGTGAAGAGATCAGCCAGTTGATGATGAGTAGACACATATGAGGGTTGGATATGATTGTGTTGTATTTCATCACGAATAAGATGACAATCCACTTCAATATGTTTTGTCCGTTCATGAAACACAGGATTCTTGGCAATGTGAAGGGCAGCTTGGTTGTCACAGTAGAGAGTCATAGGGTCGGTGTGAGTAATGCCTAGGCTCGAAAGAAGGTCTTGAAGTCATTTCAACTCACATGTCGTGTTGGCCATAGAACGATATTTTGCCTCAGCGGATGATCGAGAAATCGTATGTTGCTTCTTGGTTTTCCAGGAAACGGGGGATTGACCAAGGAAAATAAACCAACCGGTGAGAGATCTTCGAGTTAGAGGACAACTTGCCCAGTCCGAGTCACACCAACCATAAAGACGAATGTCACTCTCTCTTTTTAAAAGCACACCCTGACCTGGGCTGCCCTTTAAATAGCGTACCACGCGGAGTGCAACCCGCCAATGCTCCCGACGCGGTTGGTGCATGAATTGAGATAGGACATGAACACCGTAAGATAATTCAGGTCGTGTAAAACACAAGTAAATAAGGCGACCGACAAGACGTCGATATTGACTCGGGTCGAAAGTAGTTCGCCATCGCCCAATGCTAAACGATGATTTTCTTCGATTGGCGTGGACACAAGTTTCCCTCCAAGCAATCCTCGCTTCAGCCTATGATGTCCAACGCATACTTCCGTTGACACAAGAAAATTCCCGTAGGAGATCCGGCAACCTCCACCCCAAGAAAGTATTTTAATTTCCCTAAGTCCTTCATACGAAAACATTGATGAAGATAATCTTTGAATTGCGCAATGTCTTCATGATGATTGCCAGCAATGACTAGGTCATCCACGTAAACTAACACAACCAGCTCGACATCTCCTTTGCGAAAGATGAACAAGGAGTGATCGACGAAGAACGTTGAAACCCATATTGAACAAGAGCAGCTTGAGAGCTTGGCAAACCAACACCGAGGAGCTTGACGAAGACCATAAAGGGACTTGCGGAGACGACACACCATACCCTTTTGAGACACCAAGAACCCCGGCGGCATTTTCATGTACACATCTTCCTCAAGATCGCCGTGCGTAAAAGCATTATGGACATCCATTTGATGAAGTTCCCAGCCTTTGGCAACCGCCACCGCCAACATTGTCCGAAAGGTGACCATCTTTGCCACTCGGGCAAAGGTCTCGTCATAGTCAATCCCCTCAACTTGGTGATTTCCCAAGACAACTAATCGGGCTTTGAAGCGTTCAACGCTCCCATCGTAATGATATTTGATTTTATAAATCCACTTGCAACCCGGAGGCTTCTTCCTCGCGGTAGAGGAGTAATGTCCCATGTTTCATTACTTTGGAGGGCCTCGAATTTCACTAGCCATGGCATCTCTCCATCTAACATCCCGAACAGCCTTCAAAGAAATGCACAGTGTTCTCTCTCCGCATGAAGGGCCGCAAGAAAGGTTCGGTGGGGGAAGGAGAATTTAGCACAATTTAAGTACTTTGTCAAACCGTAAGGCATACCCGAGGAAGCCGAATGTGGAGTGCGAATTGAGGGACCGAGTTGTAAAGTGGTGTTAGTGACATAATCACGAAGCTTCACGAGATGGCTTTCGTACACGAAGACCTTTCCCCGTGGATGCAGGGACAGTATGCTCCTCGAGAACCTCTAGTTCTGTCATCATAGAGTCGGCTTGTTCCGGTGGGAGAACGATCCGGGTGGGAGGCTCTTGTTCATGGCATTCGGCCGTGGCCCTCCCCGAACTCGGCTGTGGGCACATCTTCGTTGTGGGGTTAACGTCATCGGCCTCCACAACGTGTTCTCGCATTGTTCATTGCACCAAGTCCAGGCAATGCTTCCTCGACAATGCCAACATCAACCGTAGGCAATCCTACCTCCGAATGTCTACCGTGGGCAAGAGAGGCAAACGAGAATTCATGTTCTACAAACTTAACATCTCTCGAAGTCCGAAGACTTCTCTTTCCAGCATCAAACAATTTTCAGCCCTTTTTTCGATTGAATATCCAACAAATACATTCTTGCGACTTCTACTTGCAAATTTGTCACCTTTCCTATCTTGGTTATGTGCATAACACAAGCATCCAAATACCCGTAGATGGTCATAAGTGGGTGGCTTCCCATTCAATATTTCATATGGAGTTTTTCCATGGAGAACGGTTGAGGGTGTACGATTGATCAAGTATCCCGCGGTCAAAATGCATTCTCCCTGAATTGAAGTGGAAGTTCTCCCCGAAATCGTAGAGCACGAGCTACATTTAGGATGTGTCGATGTTTTCGTTCGGCTCTCCCATTTTGCCGAGGTGTTCCAAAGGCATGAGGTTTGATGGAGTATCCCATGTTGCTGAAAATATCGTTGAAGACACATAAACTCGGCTCCATTGTCACTTCGTAATATTTTGACTTGTTTCTCGTATTGTCGTTCTATTAAGGCGATGAAATGCATTAAGGTTTGTGATACATCTTTCTTATTATTCAAGAGATATATCCACACGACTCGAGAACAGTCATCAACCAAAGTGAGAAAGTAAGATGCACCACAAGACGAGGGAGTTCTATATGGACCCCATACATCACAATGTATTAAATCAAATATATTGGATGCTTGAAAATCACTTAAAGGAAATGTGTTTCTGCATTGCTTTGATCTCTCACACACTTCACACACACGAGTTGTATCCGTATTTCTATTCACGCCGTTCGGATGCGGAATTTTTCTAACAACTGGTAGGCAGGATGTCCCATTCGCTTGTGCCAAATCTCTAGTTGATTTTCTCGCATTGGTCCGATACGCCTTTATGCCACTCACACCACGATACCAATAGAGTCCCTCTTTTCGTTCACCCGCACCAATCAGCATCCTCGAAGTGTGGTCCCGCATTGCACAAAATCTATCGAGAAAATGTACTGTACATTTTACTTCATTCGTCAATTGTGATACCGAAATCAAATTGCAATTCAATTTCGGAACATATAGAACATGTTTAAGTTTCAGTCCTCCATCAAGGAAAACCGATCCTTCTTTGTTTGCCAGCACCAATTCACCATTTGGTAGTCCCACTCGGGCACCCTTCCAAGGCTCGACTCTCCCTCAAGTTTTCTAGTGTTCCTGTCATATGATTAGAGGCGCCACTATCAATAATCCACAAGTCACATGCTTTCTTACCAGCTCATCTTTTCGGCTTCATTTGCCTTGCGAGAATTCAACATTGCTCGCCAAGATCTCGCCATTGCTCATTACTCGCTCCCGCGACTTCGGTTTTTCGGTTGAACCAACGTTATCCGCACCAGTGTGCGCCATATTGACGCGAGCCGTTCCTCCTTTTCCTCGGAAGGTTCCCTGTTCTTTGTTGATTTTTTTCATCGTTTTTATCGGTTCGTGGTCTCTCTCCCCACCATTCTCGGGTAACCAATGATCTTGAAGCAATTGCCTTTGTCATGTCCCTTCCTTCCACACCGCATGCAAACAACCGATTTTTCTTTCGCTTCATTGCGCAACTTGTTCCTGGTTTCCGCTCGCATAGCCATTCCCACGA